TTCACATGGCCAATGACTATGGCAAACAATCCATCAACATAAGCATACATATTAACATTAGTGTCGACAGTATTCCAATCATATGATTTATATTACAATAATAGATGGTTGACTAGACAATTACCTTGAGGAAATTTTTTAAAAAAGTCAATGACTCATTGACATCATCAGATTAGCAAAAGGAAAAACCAATAAGCAAGACTTGCAAGTTAACAATAAAGGAATGCAAAACATATCGTTTCTCCTCTCTGCCCTTGGTTACTGGAGACATGCTAAGAAGCAAAGCAACCAACAGAATACATCATGAATCACCAGGCATCAAAGATCAAGACATTTTAAAATTGTAACCACAACAGATGCAAGAGGTCGAAAATACAAGCATACCTGATACGCTTTCATGGAATGATCAGCAGCCTCTTTTCTCTCTTCACCGGACTTGAACTCCGCGAGATACCGGTAATAGTCACCCTTCCTGCAGCCAACAACAGAGACATGAACACACATGAAACTCTAAATCCACAGTGAGAGACAAAAAAGATAAGTCAGCACTCACATTTTGTAGAAAAAGACACTAGGTTCACCAGTAGTGCTAGAGGGGATAAGGTGCTCATCAATAACAGTCATGATATCACTGCAGATATTGGACAACTCAGACTCCACCTTCTGCCTATACTCCTTTATCCGCTTCACACTCACATCGTTCCCTTTCGCCTCTTCCTTCTGCTCAATCGACGAAAGAATCCTCCACGAAGCCCTACGAGCACCCACCACGTTCTTGTACCCTACCGACAAAAGGTTCCGCTCCTCAACCGTCAGTTCCACGTTTAGCTTCGCCACATTCTTCATTGCATCCACCATTTCTACCACATCAAACACTCTAAATCTCAGAATTCGTCTCCACGAAATTCAAATTCAAAACAAATTCAAATTAAACCAGAAAAAGTGATTTCCAAATTAAACATCTAGGTCAGCACAGTAGTGACACTCAAATCTCAACGCAGAAAAATCGGTAGAAAAAAAAAACCGACAGCGTGGAAGCATTTAAAAGAATGGATTACTACAAAATACCTTCATAGCGTTCGGCTTGTTCGGCGAGCTTGGCAACGTAGACGAAGTTATCGCGTTCCTTGGTGGAGGCCATGGAGGATCTGCAACTTTCTCTCTCCTCTCACTTTCTCTCTCTAGAAAATTGTGTGTGTTGTGTTGTGAGTGTTTGCAAGTTGATGAGCGCAGGGTTAGTTGTGGAGAGACAGGGCACGACGGCACGGGTTGGTCGTGGGCGATCACGATTCCGCACGCGTATCAGGGAGAGTGTTTGTCACGCGTTTGTGTTCATGCAAAGAGTGGGGAGGCTGTGATGGTGACGGGAGAGGTAGGCGCGTGGGATTGGGAGGGAGGCAAATTGATTGGCGTTTGGTGGGCATTGAAATTTCAAATTCACTTTTTTTGTCTTTTTGAAAATGAGGGGTTGTTGTTCACACGGAAACATTAAAAATTAATACTATATTTCTGTGTATGATGGAATTCTTCATTGGATCATGATATTTTAACAACTATTTTTAACAACTTTTTGACAATAGAACACTTGTCACCATTTTATTAGTTTGCTTGAATTTATTTTTAAAATAATATTTAAAACGGATCAATCATAAGTCATCACGTTGTCAAAAAATTGTCAAAAAAAAGTTGTCAAAATAACTTTTTCCTTCTTCATTTCGGTCCAGTTCCTCCTTCTTCACCCTTCGATATAATCTAACGCTCAGGATGAATTGATGTATTAATTTCAACTGTACAGTCGGTTACATAATGGTACCTCTAATATTTGAATGAACTAATATGATACTGATTAAAAAAATGATTTTTCAACTAAGCGATAAATAAATTGATTCAATCATTGACGAGTTGGTGTATGTTTAGTCTAAAATAAATCGAAAATATATACAAAGTGCACAAATCCAACTCAGCACACATTGAAGTATTTTGATTTATATGATAATTAGTATGGTCAAATATAACTCGAACCAATGCGTGTGTAGACTTCTAGAACGACTCTTGTGTGATTTGGCTTTGTTAGGCACTAGCAATATTGTTTTGAACAACATAATATTATGTTGGATTATCCTTTTTGGTTTTCAAACATAGTTTCAAAATTAATTAGACATCTAATTAATATTTAATGAAGATGATAAATTACTAAGATTACTTTTTGGCTTGACAAGAAGACAAGACCAGTTTTATAATGATTTAAATTAATATTATTTTTTCTGAATTATTCATTGAAGGTGGAGACAACATTCATAATCTTATTCTATCTTATAGTTTCCATACAAGAATATTTTTTTCAACTTCTTCTAAAACCGTCATAAGACAGCAGGGATCACCATAAAACTATTGTCATCTGACTTCAAACTTTGGAAGTTAACAGTGTTTACATTTCTCAAATGTGGATTGTCGAGCAAGAATATTATTTATCTTTTCTATATCATGCTATTAATTTAATAAGGATTAATGTCATCTCAAAATTTGTAAGTATTTTAAAAATAAAAAGAATAGAAAGACAGATAAAATAAATTAAAATAGTAACCAGAAGTATGTAAATATCAAACTTAACACCATGCATATTTCACTGATGTAGAAAAGACCTTTAATGTCATATCTTAAACGTTTGACCACCAAATGTCCAATATAAAAAATGATTGTGGTATTTTCGTAAATAAGATAACTATTTAGATGTCGACTATGGAGACCCCAACGCCTAAATACGCAAGAAAAAAAAATTTAGACGTCGGTCCTAACATTGGATGCCAAATTGGTTTCAAAAGTCACTTTTTGATTTCACGTTCAATCCTGCCACCCTAGTGTTTAAAGTCCTATTTAGACGTCGGACGCCAAATAACCTGCAAAAGTGATTGTTCCATTGCCCTTAAACATCCGTGGGTCAATCCCAACGTCTAAATAAGCCTTAGACGTCGGTCCCCCCCAACCCGAACGGCAAATGAGTCCGCTAGAATTAATATTTTAAACCCCTTACACATTGGCTAGGGAGGGGACCGACGTGTAAAGGCATTTAGATGTTGGCTAGGATGTGGGTCGACGTCTAAATATATGCTATTACCAACCCGTGAACGCGAGACAACAGTTACGCACATTCATTGTTCATCGTCCTCCTCGCGTATTCTCTCCACGACCTACGCTTTTGAGGTTCGTTTTCTCTCTTTTGTACCGTTTAAAATTAGTTTTACTCTGATTACATTACTCTTTTATGAATTATCTTCCATTTGAACCGATTAAAATGCGTTTTCGTTGCGTTTTGGTGCAGTTTTGCACATGTTCTTAGGCGACGATTTTGAACGTTTTTGGGCGACGATTTTGAGCGTTTTTCAACGGTGCACTCCTCCATTTCCCTCCATTGCGTTTTTAATCGGTTAAGAAGGTTAGCTTTCTTATTGAAAAGTTTTTTGTGTATGCATGTTATTGGCTTTTGGATTGTCCGATTAGACAGTTTGAAAAAAATTATTTTTCATAATTTTCTATAACATGTACGTTAGAGTTTATTGATAAGATTGATAAAATTTCGGTTTATATTATCTGTAATGTTCTTCGGATGCATATTTGATTGTGATCATATATGAGTGGAGACCAATAGAGTAATTAAGTCTTAAATAAATTAAGTAATAATTTGAATTGGTGAAATTATTTTGAATTGAGATGTGGTTGTTTAAAAGCAAAAAGACACAATAAAAAAATAAAGTTGCTCAATCCCTCAAATCTATTTATGCAAATCATTTCATCGAAACAACTTTGACACCTTTTTCTTTCCTCCACTACACTAAATCATCTAAACAAACACAACATAAATGATGTATGTATTTTCTTCAATATCCATCATATAAAAATGATACAAAAGTTTATATAGAAGGAGAAAGAAAAAGTTATTAAACTATATCTATGTAACAAAACAACTCATTATGTTGTGTTAATTCCATCTTTTAAGTCACACCTATCTTAATTTGTGTCCTCCATCTTTATTTTTGTTTTATTTCAATTCTAGTTCGTGTTTCTATGCATTTCTGTCAATACTATTCTATGTCCTTTTCGTTCTTATATTTTAATACTTAATGTAATTAGTTATTGATGTTGTCTTGCTCGTTGTTAGAATCCTTAAAGTTTCTAATGTCATGTAAGTACACTAAGTGAGATAATGAGATTTGACTTATTTTTTATATTTTCTTTTGTTTCGTATAGTTATACAATTTTAAATATGATTTGATGAACTTTTCAATAAAGACAATTTTTTTAATCATTCAAAATACAGTTAGGAACTGTGTGGACTTTGTCAGTAACTTTGTCATGCTGCTACTTCGACAAGGTTCCAACTAACACCGAGAGGTCAGACAACAAGAACATTAAACATATGCTAATAACAAAAAATTAGAAATAAAAAAAAAGTTAGTTGCTATCCAAATTTGAAAGCATTTTCGAGAATGAAATGGACAAATATTAAACATTGTGCTTTATATTATTAATTTATTATCATTTTCCGCATAGAAACTAGTCTCTAATTGAACGTGATTCTCAACATTATCAAGCACCATATAAAAATACCACATATTGTTGTCACTTCGGCAGAGTCATTTGATCAAACAACACAGCCTCAAACAACGTACTAGAAAGTTGAGACTGTAACGAAAGACTGGGTGTTAGTTTCTGTCAAATTCACTATTATTGTTTTAAATAAGATACCACATAATCCGACTTGTTTGGATCAGTTCAAGTTAAAAATATCACATCCAATTTCTACTCGGAAACCCTTATTCCCACTCATCCATTCCCTCTTAGACCAAAACACTTTTTTAACATAAAGCCAAGATTTTAACTTATTACAATAAGTAGAAACTCAAATTTTCAAGATTTTGTAACATATAACAGACAAAAATTAGTGTAGATTATTTTCCAATAAGTAGAAACTCAAATTTTCAAATGTGTAATAATAACCCTCGCTACACAAACTATTTTCCATTGGTATGGTAATGTATTTTTCTATTAAGTTGCATGATAATCCTGTTAACAACTACTGTATCTTTATATGAAATATGCGTAAAAAAAATTGTAATTATGTTGATGACTAACTACTATAGTAAGAATTTTTTTCCAGCTAGTATTGTGAAGTTAGACGTGTCCCAGGAAAACTGAGATTACGTACAGCAGTCACAAGCTAGCAGACAATACTGATGATGCTTCTTGCTGTTTTAAGCTGTCAGCCACATGAGCAATTACTCCTACACCAGCATTGTGAAGCCATTCGTTTTTCACCTGAAATCAAACAACCACTCGTGTTACGAACTTTGTATCAATGATATCATCATCATCGGACATATTAAAGGGATGCAGTACATGAATGTTGTTATGAGCAAATAAAGGCCAGAATGCCGAGTGAAAGCTGACATCAACTTTTTTCCATCCCAACAGCTGCAATCCCCGAATCATCTCCTCTGTTAAAAAGATTAGTGGCTTTAGAGGAATATCAATAGCTGAAGATAATTGATACATATTCAGTTATTTTGGGAAAAAAATTATCACCTTCTACAATTTCATGATATGCTACAGTACTATGTGTATTGGGAGCATTTTGTGCAGCCTCCTTTGCTTGCACTGCTTTTGGAGAAAATTTAGAGCCATCAGAAGGAACTGGGGGACAATATTCCACATCAACTACGTGCTTGTATCCATCTAAAGATTGACGAGGAGGCTGCCAATACAAAAGAAAATGTTAGTACCACAGAAAGATATTCACATTATTTTCACAATCCAGACGTTTCCGTTTTCATATATTAAACAATCACTCCTTCAACTTTCAGAATAGGACCAGCACTAAAAAATTAATGTTACAGCATTTTTTCCTTTACTCAACATCTATAGTTTCTTTTACACATTTGCAACACAGAAGCTAACACTAAACTAGGATGCCAGAATTAACATCCCTTGCAACATTTTAGCTGCCGTATATTGATCCATTTAATTTAATTTTATTCGTTTCAGAGGGATTAACTAACACAGATCACTAAGAGCCAGTGCCACATCCCCTTTTTCTTTCACGATTTCGTAGTTGACAGGCTGTGACTCAATTGGAATTCCTAATTAAGAAATTATGAAGGGTCAGTATAAATTAAACCAACAATTATCTGAGTTAATACACTGCAAAGTATATATAACCACCCCGATAATTGAAAATGTGAAGAACTGAATATCTCAATCAATAGTCAAACATGGCACGCTCTTCAAGTGAAGTTCAGTAGTACACAAGTATTTTTCAAAGAATTAGAAAATTTTTTAAAAAAAGTCAATTTTGATGGGATACTTAACTGTTGGAGTCGAATTTTATAAATTTATATGTTTTTCCACAATTGGCCAATTGAACTTCGCCGCACTTTTAAACCATTTTTCAGTTGAAATCTAATACGTTGTTATTATTATTATTATTATTTATTATTATTATTGAGTTTTGTTGTTGTTATTATTGATAGGAGAGGAGAAAGGAAATTTGATCTAACAGTTCTAGTTCACCAAGTACTCAAATAATAATAAATCTCTTTTATACGTCTATAGTTCTATTATTTTCATTACTTATTTATTTCGACATAAACAAAATTTTATCCTATTAGCATTAGCAATTGTAGAATTGAAATTATAAATTACATTTAAGTCATAAATCTAAGAGTTGAGACAGGAAAACAGATTATAGATGCCAGACATAAACACATTTAGGATGTTAAGTATAATTCTAAGCATCCAACAAGATTCTAATTTAGTCGTAATCTAAGTATAAATTATTAATCTTTAAAATTGCATATGTTAAGAGATCAATAACCAACAAAATAAGATAACCCAAAAGGATAAATCATCAATATTCACCTTACTGAGCTCAGTTTCCCTCCTTATAGAGGAAGTGCGCCACCCTACCATATCTATATAAAGTTGAAGAAATTACAAAAATGGGAAGAAATGAACCATGAATTATTGATATGCCTAGAAGGTAGTAAAACAGAAAAAACATACTGAGAGGATACGATCATATGAAACATTAGCATAAATGATGCGACATCTAAATGTTCCAAGTGCAGACCTACATAAATATAAAATTTAGTATTAGATTACTTAATTGAAAAAGCGGAATATAAAGTAGTACAAATAGATTCCTTTACTTACAGAAACTTTCCATCATCAAAATCAGAAGCCATTCTCAATAGAAGAGGTGGTTTATCAGGTTTACCATCAGTAAGGAACAACTGACTACCTGTTTGACCAACAAAAAAAGGAGCTATGGGAGCAGCTAGCTTTTCTAGGATTGGGACACCCAACAGAAATGGGAGCTGAAAAATATGCAGGGTAAACAGTCAAACTCTTATGGCCTGAAAATTTTCAGTACAAATTGAGAAATACCACGTTCATTGACAAGACATATATAAACAAGGCCGGAAGGATGGTTTAGATATTCAATTCCTTCATAGTTTCATCCATTTGAATTGAAATTCCAGTTTATAAGCATCTTTTTCTAATAATTTTTTCATGATTGTAATATAAGTTTCTCTAGTAAAATTGAAATTTTAGTGGGGCCTGTTCATGGATAATGCAAATCTTATTCTAGTACTTTCTCCATCAGAACTTCTATTAGAAGAAAAGTTATGCACTCTACTCTTTCTATTTAAACATTTCTTCGTAGGTTGCATCCCTTTATAAAAATAAAAATAAAATCTCAAAATTCAAATACGGGCATGCATAATTGAAGGTAAGATCTACCAGAAACTATTTCATTAACGAGAAAAATTAAGACAATTCTTAGCCAAGAGATAATAAAAGGGATAACAAAGAAATTTATTTGATGGATAAAAACGTGGGTTAAATAATTTACAAAACAATGTAGTTCGTGTTGTCTTGAGGTATCAATCCTTGATGATAAAAACTGATAGATAAAATAATGAAAATAAACGTAATGATAAAGAGGTGCATATAATGAAAAAAAAAGAGAGTAATTTTTGTAATATACTTGTTAATAAGAAAATTATAGGTCATCGATGATGAAAATCCATCCAATAAATTAGTTTTGTCCAACAATGTTTATGTAGATTTTGTACAGTAATCAGGTTAATAGAAAATGGTACTGCAGAAAAAAGGGTGGCTGAATTTAATCCTACTTTCAAACTGCAAGAGACAATACAGAATATTCAAACAAAAACTAAAATATTCTTGAGCATTTTAAAGAGAGTAGGCCCTGCCAAAACACTAGTTGTTAACATGTATGGTTGAGTTCGACCTATATTGAAATTCTTAAACAATCAAAATATTCATTTTAACAATTCTTGAGGACCTATCAACCATCCACATATGTTTCCAATTGTGCAACTTTCACCTTCAGAGCGCTCACTCTTTATTGCTAAAGGTGTGTGTTACAGATAGCACATCAACTGGAAATATTTATGTATATAAGTCGAAGGAAACTCAAACTCATGAGCTAACTTTTAGGGTTGAATTAGGTCCAACCCCAAATTGGCAAATTCTAAGAGAGAAAGCCACTCGCTATTGTCCACTCACCATGTTCTGTCACAAATTGCATCTTGCTATGTGTTTGGCATCCAACGAGACTACACTTTCTTCCCTACCCACAAAGCAATAGAAGTAAAAGCTGGGGTTTTTCATTATAAGGGTATCATTAAATTTGCATCTTAGTGCGATTCATTTTTCTTTAGTGACTACATTTACAGTTGATGCATCAAGCTTAGTTGCAAAAAAGGGATTCTGTTACGGTATAAGGTAGGGGGTAATAATAAGGTTTGGAAAGTATATGAGAAGGAGAAGGAAGGTAGGAGGGAAGTGAGGCTGAACAGTATTGACCGTAAAGGCCGAACGGTAGCCGAACGGTAGCCGAACGGTGGAAGGCGAGGAGCGACCAGGCCGAACGGTAGAAGGAGAGGAGCGACCAGGCCGAACGGTAGAAGGCGAGGAGCGACCAGGCCGAACGGTGGAAGGCAGAGAGCGACCAGGCCAAACGGTGAGAAGGAGCGAAGGACCTGAGCCGGATGGTTGAAGAGCTACCATCCTAACTGTCATAGCGGTTAGGATGGGCGGGAACTAATTACAGTAAAGGGAGTTATATTTGGGGAGAATATTCAGTATAAGATAACTAGACTAAATAAATATTCAAGGGAAATATACAATATAAAATATTTATAATTAATGATATATGTTAGGGAAATATAGGGGGGAATATTTACATTAAATATAGGGATATTTATATTAAATATAGATATATTCTAGGGAGATATTTAGTATGAGAGAAGCTGGAGACAATTAGTATAAATAAAGCTAGAGTCTAGGGTTAAGGGTATGCTTTTGATTATTGAGTCTTGTTGACAGGCGACTATGCGTCCTGTGAGGGAGGTTATGCTCCCAATTATTGTTTACTTTTGTTTATTCAGATATTTCCATCAATAAAAGAAATTCTTTAGTTCAATTCCATTCTTTCATTATTATTTTGCTTACTTTGAGTGTGTGAGAGGTTGTTCTGGTTAAGTTTCGTACTCAGGTACGTAACAATTGGTCTGACCTGCCGGATCTTCAAAGAGGAGAAAAGGGCGTGAGGGAGGAATCTGCCGGATCGTCAAGGGATGAAACTGTCGGATCCTAATGGAGAGGAGTGAAAGACATCATGGAGGGAAGAATGAATGCAGTTGAAGGGAAACTGGAGAGCAAGAGGCAGAGACTGGAGAACATGGAGCTGTCCATAAGGAGGTTGAAGGCAGAGTTGGGTGGAATACGCCATGAAGTGCAACCCAGCTGGAAGAAAAGGGTAGAGTTACCCATGTTTTACGGGGTCGATCCGTTGAATTGGATCAGTAGAGCTGATAATTTTTTTGAACTACAAGAGGTGTCGGAGGAAGAGAATGTGTGCCTAGCCTACATCAGTATGGAGGAAAAGGTCGAATACTGGTTCAGATTTTGGAAGGGGAACGCCAAGGATCGTTCTTGAGAAGGTTTAAAGGAAGCGATGGTGATCCGATTCGTAGAAAGAAACACGGGATCAGTCTTCGAAAGACTGGCGGCCAGTAAATAATCGGGGAACGTGGAAGAATACGTCCAAGCTCCAAACGGGAAGGGACTGCTGGAACCGAACGGTAGCAGACTGCTGGATCCGAACTTGAGAGAACGGGCGGAACCTAAAGAGAAAGGACTTACCGAACCGAACGGGAGAAGACGGCCGGAACTGAACGTGAGAAAACTGCTGGAACCGAACGAGCTAGTACTGGGAGAAAGAATGACGACTTTGGAAGGAAGGGCAGATGGAAGAATCAATGCATTGGAGAGAACAATGGATTCTATGAGGAGGTGGGCCAGTGAAAAGAACAGGGGGTTTGCAGTTTTTGATACACCGACAGAAGGGAGAGAGCGACATGAAGTACTGAAAGAGATCGAAGACCAATTCCTTATGATTATGGAAAAGTGGTGACCAGAATGCTGGACGGAGAATGGAAGACATTGGAGGAGGTTTAACCACCACCCAAACCTCCAGACCTTAATTGGAGGGCAATAGCCAGTGAGTACCCTTCATATGATAACACGATGATGAAGAGAAGCCAGAAGATCAAGTTTCACAGTTCCAACTAGGGATGGCAATTTTACCCGCGGACACGGGTATCCGCGGTTAAAATCCGCGGCGGGTAGTAACTATCCGCGGATATTTACTACCCGCGGGTAACAGGTAGCGGGTATTTTAATACCCGCTTCTAAACGGGTCGGGTACGGGTAGTATACTACCCGCCCCGCGGGTACTCGATACCCGCTACCCGCGAAAAATTAAAAACAAAATAATTTATATATTTTTTAATTAAATTAATTAAAAATAAAATAAAATTATATTTTATTAGGTTAAATTTAATTTTAATTTATATTATATTATATTATATATATATATATATATTTTTGTAATTTTATTTAAATTTTATTTTAAATATGTATTAAATATTTCTTTTTTATTTTTTGCGGGTATCCACGGGTATCCGCGGGTTTTAAAATACCCGCGGGTATTTTTTAAACGGGTACCCGACGGGTAGCGGGTTGGGTAGCGGGTACAATTTTATCGGGCGGGTAGGATTGCGGGTAGGCACTACCCGTGCCCGACCCGACCCATTGCCATCCCTAGTTCCAACCTTGAGGACAAGGTTGTTTTGCAGCGGGGTGTAATGTTACGGTATAAGGTAGGGGGTAATAATAAGGTTTGGAAAGTATATGAGAAGAAAAAGGAAGGTAGGAGGGAAGTGAGGCCAAATGGTATTGACCGTAAAGGCCAAACGATAGCCAAACGGTGGAAGGCGAGGAGCGACCAAGCTGAATGATGGAAGGTGAGGAGCAACCAGGCCGAACGGTGGAAGGCAGAGAGCGACCAGGCCGAACGGTGGAAGGCAGAGAGCGAGCGACCAGGCCGAGCCGTGGGAAGCAGCGAAGGACCTGAGTCGGACGGTTGAAGAGCTACCATCCTAACTGTCATGGCGGTTAGGATGGGCGGGAACTAATTACAGTAAAGGGAGATATATTTAAGGAGAATACTCAGTATAAGATAATTAGAGTAAATAAATATATATTCCAGGGAAATATACAATATAAGATATTTATAATTAATGATATATACTAGGGAAATATACGGGGGAGTATTTACATTAAATATAGGGATATTTATATTAAATATAGGTATATTCTAGGGAGATATTTAGTATGAGATGAGCGGGAAACAATTAGTATAAATAAAGCTAGAGTCTAGGGTTAAGGGTATGCTTTTGATTATTGAGTCTCGTTGACAGGCGGCTATGCGTCCTGTGAGGGAGGTTATGCTCCTCAAGTAATTGAAGGAGGTTATGCTCTCAATTATTGTTTACTTTTGTTTATTCAAATATTTCCATCAATAAAAGAAATTCTTTAGTTCAATTCCATTCTTTCATTATTATTTTGCTTACTTTGAGTGTGTGAGAGGTTGTTCTGGTTAAGTTTCGTACTCAGGTACGTAACAGATTCTAATAAATCTTCCCATTAGTTGAACTTTTTCTTTTGCTTATCTATGTGTACCCTACCATGGTTGTTCTGTACTTGGTTTCAATTCAGCAACATGGAATAATAGCTTTGATGGTAGAAAGATGAAAGGTGTCCAACCTTGTCTTTTCCCATACACAGTTGGACTTAGTTTGCCCCAAATGTACCTTGGGCTCATGGGAATCTCAATGAATCATTCTTGACCCCATAACAGTTCTAAAGATTCAGCTTCCTCCATATTGCCCTGGCCCTGTCAGTTTCTCCCACACAATCTAACCTCAACTTTTCTCCAAATTTGGCCTAAGGTGATTAAGCCCAGCTTTTGTCTCAATCACAATCTGATTCCAATCTCTCTTTATGAGTTTCCACAGTGGTCTTTATTGGTGAAGCCCATAACGATGAAAGAAAAGAAAGACATTTGTTCGTATTAAGCCTAAAGCTTATAAGCTTTAGCTTGAGGAAGAGTTTTAGAATATTTGAAAATATCCAATTATATCGTATCATATCTGACATTATTTCGAAAGATTAACTTCCTTATTTCCTCATTATCTTATAGTTAACATAGTTCCTTATCTCATTATGATTTGTTCACCAAATTAGCTAGGATTGTGATTAGTATAAATAAGGGTAGTACTTAAAGTTTTATGAATATATCAAACACATCAATACAATGTAATATGAATATCTTAGTTAATACTTAATATCAATTTAGTGTTTCGTTGTCTTTTATCTTTCTTCCTCTCTCTCACTAAACTCATAACTTGAACAAAGGGATCAACAAGACAATTTCAAGTTTCAAAAAAGTAACACCAGTCTTCAGATTTCAAATAGAAGACAATATATACCAAAAAAGAGAACACATCACAAAAAAATTATATTGTCCTGAACAAACCTGCTTCTTTCCTCTTACACCAAGATGAGGAGTTGCTAAAGTTATAAAATTGATAGGCTCCAACCCAGCTATTAAGCCTCCTTTGGAAAACTTTTTTTCCTGGAGATATTCTGTCGTGTTGTTTGCCAGATCACCTGGTTGATCTCTACTGTAGGTATCAGGTGAATAAAGAACAGCAATTGCATATCTAGCAAACAAGCCTCCCAAAGAATGGGATAGAAAGGAGATTCTTTTAAGGCTCCTTGTCTTTTTAACAACTTGCAATACCTGTTTTCATGATAGGCAATAATAATTCAACATGAAACAATTCAAGAGAAAATAAAAGTATCGGAACTTAAATGGAGCCTTCGAACTTCAATAAATTTTTGTAGCTCGGAACTCACTTCATCAGCTAACCGCTTTCCAGCTCCATCAATCCCAGTAAATGTCTTAGTGTAAGTATTTGATGAACTGACTGCAAACAACAAATAATTGATAAGAACTGTTCCTAAACAGATATATATATATATATGTGTATATATATATATATATATATATATATATATATATACATATATATATATATATATACACATATGNATATTCTAGGGAGATATTTAGTATGAGAGAAGCTGGAGACAATTAGTATAAATAAAGCTAGAGTCTAGGGTTAAGGGTATGCTTTTGATTATTGAGTCTTGTTGACAGGCGACTATGCGTCCTGTGAGGGAGGTTATGCTCCCAATTATTGTTTACTTTTGTTTATTCAGATATTTCCATCAATAAAAGAAATTCTTTAGTTCAATTCCATTCTTTCATTATTATTTTGCTTACTTTGAGTGTGTGAGAGGTTGTTCTGGTTAAGTTTCGTACTCAGGTACGTAACAATTGGTCTGACCTGCCGGATCTTCAAAGAGGAGAAAAGGGCGTGAGGGAGGAATCTGCCGGATCGTCAAGGGATGAAACTGTCGGATCCTAATGGAGAGGAGTGAAAGACATCATGGAGGGAAGAATGAATGCAGTTGAAGGGAAACTGGAGAGCATGGGGCAGAGACTGGAGAACATGGAGCTGTCCATAAGGAGGTTGAAGGCAGAGTTGGGTGGAATACGCCATGAAGTGCAACCCAGCTGGAAGAAAAGGGTAGAGTTACCCATGTTTTACGGGGTCGATCCGTTGAATTGGATCAGTAGAGCTGATAATTTTTTTGAACTACAAGAGGTGTCGGAGGAAGAGAATGTGTGCCTAGCCTACATCAGTATGGAGGAAAAGGTCGAATACTGGTTCAGATTTTGGAAGGGGAACGCCAAGGATCGTTCTTGAGAAGGTTTAAAGGAAGCGATGGTGATCCGATTCGTAGAAAGAAACACGGGATCAGTCTTCGAAAGACTGGCGGCCAGTAAATAATCGGGGAACGTGGAAGAATACGTCCAAGCTCCAAACGGGAAGGGACTGCTGGAACCGAACGGTAGCAGACTGCTGGATCCGAACTTGAGAGAACGGGCGGAACCTAAAGAGAAAGGACTTACCGAACCGAACGGGAGAAGACGGCCGGAACTGAACGTGAGAAAACTGCTGGAACCGAACGAGCTAGTACTGGGAGAAAGAATGACGACTTTGGAAGGAAGGGCAGATGGAAGAATCAATGCATTGGAGAGAACAATGGATTCTATGAGGAGGTGGGCCAGTGAAAAGAACAGGGGGTTTGCAGTTTTTGATACACCGACAGAAGGGAGAGAGCGACATGAAGTACTGAAAGAGATCGAAGACCAATTCCTTATGATTATGGAAAAGTGGTGACCAGAATGCTGGACGGAGAATGGAAGACATTGGAGGAGGTTTAACCACCACCCAAACCTCCAGACCTTAATTGGAGGGCAATAGCCAGTGAGTACCCTTCATATGATAACACGATGATGAAGAGAAGCCAGAAGATCAAGTTTCACAGTTCCAACTAGGGATGGCAATTTTACCCGCGGACACGGGTATCCGCGGTTAAAATCCGCGGCGGGTAGTAACTATCCGCGGATATTTACTACCCGCGGGTAACAGGTAGCGGGTATTTTAATACCCGCTTCTAAACGGGTCGGGTACGGGTAGTATACTACCCGCCCCGCGGGTACTCGATACCCGCTACCCGCGAAAAATTAAAAACAAAATAATTTATATATTTTTTAATTAAATTAATTAAAAATAAAATAAAATTATATTTTATTAGGTTAAATTTAATTTTAATTTATATTATATTATATTATATATATATATATATTTTTGTAATTTTATTTAAATTTTATTTTAAATATGTATTAAATATTTCTTTTTTATTTTTTGCGGGTATCCACGGGTATCCGCGGGTTTTAAAATACCCGCGGGTATTTTTTAAACGGGTACCCGACGGGTAGCGGGTTGGGTAGCGGGTACAATTTTATCGGGCGGGTAGGATTGCGGGTAGGCACTACCCGTGCCCGACCCGACCCATTGCCATCCCTAGTTCCAACCTTGAGGACAAGGTTGTTTTGCAGCGGGGTGTAATGTTACGGTATATGGTAGGGGGTAATAATAAGGTTTGGAAAGTATATGAGAAGAAAAAGGAAGGTAGGAGGGAAGTGAGGCCAAATGGTATTGACCGTAAAGGCCAAACGATAGCCAAACGGTGGAAGGCGAGGAGCGACCAAGCTGAATGATGGAAGGTGAGGAGCAACCAGGCCGAACGGTGGAAGGCAGAGAGCGACCAGGCCGAACGGTGGAAGGCAGAGAGCGAGCGACCAGGCCGAGCCGTGGGAAGCAGCGAAGGACCTGAGTCGGACGGTTGAAGAGCTACCATCCTAACTGTCATGGCGGTTAGGATGGGCGGGAACTAATTACAGTAAAGGGAGATATATTTAAGGAGAATACTCAGTATAAGATAATTAGAGTAAATAAATATATATTCCAGGGAAATATACAATATAAGATATTTATAATTAATGATATATACTAGGGAAATATACGGGGGAGTATTTACATTAAATATAGGGATATTTATATTAAATATAGGTATATTCTAGGGAGATATTTAGTATGAGATGAGCGGGAAACAATTAGTATAAATAAAGCTAGAGTCTAGGGTTAAGGGTATGCTTTTGATTATTGAGTCTCGTTGACAGGCGGCTATGCGTCCTGTGAGGGAGGTTATGCTCCTCAAGTAATTGAAGGAGGTTATGCTCTCAATTATTGTTTACTTTTGTTTATTCAAATATTTCCATCAATAAAAGAAATTCTTTAGTTCAATTCCATTCTTTCATTATTATTTTGCTTACTTTGAGTGTGTGAGAGGTTGTTCTGGTTAAGTTTCGTACTCAGGTACGTAACAGATTCTAATAAATCTTCCCATTAGTTGAACTTTTTCTTTTGCTTATCTATGTGTACCCTACCATGGTTGTTCTGTACTTGGTTTCAATTCAGCAACATGGAATAATAGCTTTGATGGTAGAAAGATGAAAGGTGTCCAACCTTGTCTTTTCCCATACACAGTTGGACTTAGTTTGCCCCAAATGTACCTTGGGCTCATGGGAATCTCAATGAATCATTCTTGACCCCATAACAGTTCTAAAGATTCAGCTTCCTCCATATTGCCCTGGCCCTGTCAGTTTCTCCCACACAATCTAACCTCAACTTTTCTCCAAATTTGGCCTAAGGTGATTAAGCCCAGCTTTTGTCTCAATCACAATCTGATTCCAATCTCTCTTTATGAGTTTCCACAGTGGTCTTTATTGGTGAAGCCCATAACGATGAAAGAAAAGAAAGACATTTGTTCGTATTAAGCCTAAAGCTTATAAGCTTTAGCTTGAGGAAGAGTTTTAGAATATTTGAAAATATCCAATTATATCGTATCATATCTGACATTATTTCGAAAGATTAACTTCCTTATTTCCTCATTATCTTATAGTTAACATAGTTCCTTATCTCATTATGATTTGTTCACCAAATTAGCTAGGATTGTGATTAGTATAAATAAGGGTAGTACTTAAAGTTTTATGAATATATCAAACACATCAATACAATGTAATATGAATATCTTAGTTAATACTTAATATCAATTTAGTGTTTCGTTGTCTTTTATCTTTATTCCTCTCTCTCACTAAACTCATAACTTGAACAAAGGGATCAACAAGACAATTTCAAGTTTCAAAAAAGTAACACCAGTCTTCAGATTTCAAATAGAAGACAATATATACCAAAAAAGAGAACACATCACAAAAAAATTATATTGTCCTGAACAAACCTGCTTCTTTCCTCTTACACCAAGATGAGGAGTTGCTAAAGTTATAAAATTGATAGGCTCCAACCCAGCTATTAAGCCTCCTTTGGAAAACTTTTTTTCCTGGAGATATTCTGTCGTGTTGTTTGCCAGATCACCTGGTTGATCTCTACTGTAGGTATCAGGTGAATAAAGAACAGCAATTGCATATCTAGCAAACAAGCCTCCCAAAGAATGGGATAGAAAGGAGATTCTTTTAAGGCTCCTTGTCTTTTTAACAACTTGCAATACCTGTTTTCATGATAGGCAATAATAATTCAACATGAAACAATTCAAGAGAAAATAAAAGTATCGGAACTTAAATGGAGCCTTCGAACTTCAATAAATTTTTGTAGCTCGGAACTCACTTCATCAGCTAACCGCTTTCCAGCTCCATCAATCCCAGTAAATGTCTTAGTGTAAGTATTTGATGAACTGACTGCAAACAACAAATAATTGATAAGAACTGTTCCTAAACAGATATATATATATATATGT